GGCAACCATGTCCCTGTCTAAGATTCTTTGGTGGGTCTTCGGTTATTATGGCTTCCCCTTAACATGGATGGAGTAGAGGGTACCAGAACTAGTGAAGCATCGAAAGTGCAAAAGACCCTCTCGTCGCCCAACTGCGCCGGAGGGTCGAGCCTATGAGAGGAAAGTTTTTCGCAGTTTGCACTCTGAAATCTATCACAACAATGCTGAGTGATGACCAAAAACACTCTTAACTCTCTCTCAGCTAACTTATACGGGAAGGATTCCTACTATACTGAAAACAAAACTTACAGTGAAGTTGTTCCATCGGTGAAGTACCATTTCTGGTCATCTCGACAAGTGAGGCGCGCCGTCACAGTGGGCGCAACGTCTGGTCCACCAATACCACCGTTGAACTGAATCATCAAATAGTAAAATAAAATAGTTGCAAAAATCGTCATGAATCTGTAGGGTTGGCCAATTAGACTCACCTCCCAGTGCCTTGGGGGGAGGGGAGGGGACAGAGCTGGCCTAGCATACTTTGACTTACGGCCTTTGGAAACTGTCGTTGCAAAAAAAACTTGCGAAATACATCACCCACAGAATCCTTCAAAACTCCCCCCCCGCCCCCCCGGGTTACGACCTTCCTTCCCATGCACTGTTCCACCTACCATTTTCCTAAATCCTCCCAACTTCCACCAGTTTTTCAACTTTTTTTACTGTTTCTCTCCGAAAAGTTCCCCGGTTTTCCCCAAAAAACTACCGTCGGGCAGGGTAGGGGAGCTAACTTAACGTCAGACAGTGGTGGCGGAGCTGGGCGGAGGGGGAGGAGGGGAAAAGGGAAGGGTCGAGTAGAGGGAGGGTATATAGCGCACGAAGGGATTAGATCGCATGTCGTTCACCTCCATGAATGCATCGTCGGTCTCTGTTCCTGATCGGCAAATTGCGTTCATTTGGTTGCACCCTTTGAGCATATTTTATATACTCCCTGGAGCTGAAACAGTAAACCAACGAAGTCACTGAGACCTGTCATTTGGTACTTAAGATAAATGGAATTGGAAAATTGGAATAGATAATCTCCTGAAAACCAACTGCATAATGGCATCCGTTTCATCCGCAGCCGTAGCTTTCTTGAACATTACAGTGCTGGGGTCACACATACTACAACCTAAAATTTTTTTTCATTGTTGAGACAGAAATATTGCTCAGCATCGTAAGCACAAGAAAGGGAAATTTGTAATATACTGTTTCTTGGCTTGCTTACCCACTTGTGTTCAAAACTGAACGGTTTTCCGCGCATTAACCTTTTTTCTTTTGGCACTATTTACCCTTTACTGCCCCAGCCATCCGAAATCAGGCCAGTTCCTGACCGACTTTTTTCTCCGTGGGCAGAATTTGCTGAAAACTTGGCTCGGGGGGTAGTTTCGGACCTCCCGGGCGCCCGCCGACACGGGCACCGGCCCGCAAAGTGCCCCAAAACATTTTGGCGCTTCTGGGCGCGGGCGCCAGGTTAAGGCGATATGTGACATTCGTATTCTGGAGGTCAAACTAACCCAGGAGACAACATTCGAGCAAAATCTGCCTACAGAGAAAAAAGTCGGTCAGGAACTCGCCTGATTTCGGATGACTGGAGCAGTAAAGGGTAAATAGTGCCCCTTTTTCTCACGAAACTCGCTCTAACTGTAAAGTACTGAAGTAGGTGTTCAAACTTGCCTTTCGGTGATCCTTTTGTGGTGCTGCAGGAAACATCCGTTATCGCACTGAAAACAGTAACTACTTTTGACATTCTTGTTGCAATAGATGGTGATAGGAGTTCCATCCCCCTGGTCCCAAGTGTGAAAAGTGTGCGAAAATGGTTTCTGCTGGCGAATTCTGCGTATTCTGCTGCGAACATATTGGTGTCTAGAGCCAGATTCAAAACCAGCTCATGCAAATCCATATAGGGCTGCTTTTGTTTGCTGCAGAAGAGGGGCCTTGTCAGGGGGGGATGGGTCTGCCATCCCATTTCTTTCTTTTTTTCTTCAGACAAGCGACAACACAGTATCGAATCAAACAGATCAATCGTTATGCACTAATTATTGTCGCCTACGCGCTTCAGCAGTTGCTGAAGAACGAGCTGGCATCGCGCCAAGCCCAGCCTCACCGACACGCCCCAACATTTGCAGCGGACAACACTGTACATTCCATCCTGTATGACCGTGGCGCCTTTGGATCATTCTCATGTTAGTAATATGTACTCGTTTAAATGTTCAGAATTTCAAAAAAAGAAACGTACAGCGGTGTCGTTCCATCAGTGAAATACCATTTCCTGTCGGCTCGACACGTGAGAAGTGCTGTCACCGTAGGCGCTACATATGGGCCTCCGATCCTGAGGTTGAACTGAAAAAATGTCTTTCTTTGGACTCTGTGAGCTTTGCCCTTCTGTACGCTAAGCTTGGCAAAATTACGCAATTACTTGAACGAGGCTTCCATCTGGGAAATCGTACTCACTCTGGGGCTTCAGGAGTTTGATCATACCCCGATGCTAACTATTTCTTAGTCTAAGGAGTCGCTGCTATCGCGCGCGCGTAAGAAGACTAGGTGTGAGAGACTCGTACAGCGGCGTTGGTTACGGTAGCAGCGCTTCACCGGTCTACGAAGTCTCCACTGGGGCGCGCTCATACTTCGCAATCCAATCGCGCGATTCAAGTGACCGGATCGCGAAGTATGAACGAGAGTTGCTTCAATGCGACATATGCCTTATTTCAGTCGCCACGGATGGCACGCAGTGGAAACAAACGTCACTCAACTGTGCTTTCTCTGATTGAAGCTCTTTCGCTGTTTATTCAGTCACTGTAAAAGCTGGAAGATCATGTATACTCCTTAGCTGGGACATGGGAGGGCGTGGCTGCGTACTTCATTTGAACGTGGCGGCGGCTGCGTCTTTGCTGGGATATTGCCGTGTGAGAGTTGTAAACATTTCTTTCTCTAAACAGGATGGCCTTGTCTCGAAATATCGCAAGGAAGGCGCGCTCTCCGCTATGCGTATGAGGTACGCAGCCACGCCCCTTCTACTTCTGGGATATGGAGTGTGCAAGTTCAATGAATAAAGTCCAGCGTTCCTCTAGTGAATTGGACCTATTATTAGACCTCACCTCCATGAAGGAATTATCTGTTGGAGATCCAGATCTACAAATGGCTTTCATTCGCTTGCAGCCTTGAGCGTTGTTTGTCAAAATTCTGAAAACGATTCAAGTGGTTTTCAAAGCCAGCTTTATCAGTTACCAAAAATTCTCAGATCCTAAAAAAACTAATTGTTTGGAATGTTTGTCAATGTGGGAGAACTCACTGTCTGATCGCATCCGTTTCGTCTTCTGCTTCTGCTGGATGGAATGTCACCACGCTAGGATCGCACCCACCACAAGCTGTAAAGTGTCATACTTTATTGTATTTTTTACTTCCTTACTAGTCAAAGATTCCAATATCTATGCAATGCATGCACGGCCTTTGGCGCGGCGCCAGCACCTTTTTCCCAACACTCACTGGACGCCTGATTAATGAAAAACAGTCTGGCGCCGCGCCAAAATCAACATGCTGCTGATGAATTTAGTAATAATGACTGTACCCCAGTTTGCTTGCTGTCAAAATCCTGTAGTTCCGTGAAGAACCTCATTTCGGAGATAAACTCAGGTTCATCCCTCATGTAAGCTCTGGACGGCCGAGAATTTACTTTCGAAAAATGGAAAACCAAAGACTCACCACCGTACCACGTGGATCATCAATGTTAACGAAAAGTGAAGAGAAATGAACGTGAGCTCACCTGGCGGAGGGGGATCAGTGGGGTTGGGCGTAGGGGGATCAGTGGGGTTGACGGGCTGAAATGAGGTAAACTTACGCAGAGCAATTCTTACTCAGTACTGTAACCCTATTCCCTGAATTTAAGCCGCACACGATAACAGGCCACTGAAATAGGTGGTCTACAGTACTTCCAAAAGTGCGCGTGAAATCAGATGTATCGGTTCCGTGAACGCACACAATTGGGCATGTT